AGACTACAGATGCTTGTCCATGTATATTTTGGGGCTTGTCCTTTGCCTTCTAAGCACGTTTTAAGAGCTGGTGGCTTTTTCTCATCTGATTATAGCCAAGGGTGACCAACGTAAGGCAACTGCTCCTGGAGCTGAGGGGACCAAAATAGCCATCGAATCTGCGCCCATACGGGATATAATCGTCTAGCAGAGAATCCGTACCACTCAAACCTTTATCTTATGACGCAGCAAGATGTGATGATATCAGAACTTATTGAAGCTCGCCCGAAAGCCAACTTCTTCATACTTAGGTTGGCAAATTCATTGAACTAAAATGATGCTGCTGATGTATTTGATGTATCGTTTCTCCTAAGTCACTATAGAAAATTTTTCTGAGTCAGGCGATTTTGTGCGTGCACCTAATGTTTACTTGTTAAATGTCTCCGACTAATTTGGAACTAGTTTACTCACTCTAATTTGAAATGATTTGACCTTTTTTCGACTTAGTTCGTGAAAATATAGCAATTAATTGCTCTTAATGCTTCCAAGCCCGCATCTATTCCGCTTTGATATCAATTTTAAACGTAAACATATGCTTGACAATTAATACATTTTTGCTTATTCGTTTACTTTTGAGGTTGCAAATTATCGGTGACTTGTGGTTGAATACTTTTATCTCAGTCTTAAAGATCATGTGGAGCCGCATCGTTTAAATTAAACCACTTTACGATTTTCAATTCCCACGGTCTGTCCAGATTCGTCTTGTCATCTCCAGGCTCAAGGTAGAGGCCCCATCTCAGGGCCACATGAATGCCATCCATCCACACGCCTCGATATCTTCAGAAGAGAGCGTGTACAAGAGAACAAAGCGTCTGTCAGCCCCACAGATATTTTATGATTTCGCCAATCTCGTGAGCACAGGGCTGAACTACGTCGGCCCCTACCGCAAAAGCATTACACCACTCATTGAAAGCCGACTTTTGCATAATTCCGAGAATCAAGGTGAGAATAATGCTAATATGCTCATTGCTATACATGTAGTGCTGAGCTCAGTAACATTTGACATGACCATAAGCGGTCACGTATTATATACTATTGACTACGAACTATACCCAGCTTTCTTCTGCCAAATTAAACAGAAGATTTTGTCCTGAAAATCGTTATAAAAAAATTAAATTAACATTTAATGGTGTCTATGACTTATAACGTAGCATCTGTCCGAGGTCATCAAGGTTTAATTGCAACCACTACGACTTTAACCATCATTCTGATCGCGTAATCTGGAACCTATCCTTAAATCTCGAAATCACATTTTTATTCCAAATGGAAGTTAGCTTAACAGTTATCGACCAGAAGATTCCATGTAACTCAACTTTTTTCACATTGGCTTCAGACATACATACGTACATAAGCTGAATCCCAAAAAAGATTATTATAGGGTTTGTAGGGACAAATATTTTAT